GGTGTAACGGCGGCGAAACCTTGCGGCGGATGTTTGGGTTTTGGGGGAGGAGAGAGTGAGGAAGGAGAGGATAAGACTTTCGTTTCTCTATCTGTTCAAAATGGAGAAGCGAGGATATAAATGGGCCGAGATTAAATGGGCCATATTGATAATAGCCCAATAAAATCGAAGAATATCAAAGCAAATATTTGGTTGACAATATAACAAATCCATTTACTGTATAAGTAACTAATTTGTAGGTTTTTTGTCTAATTACTAAAAATAATTTGTAATTCGAATTGTAATAAGAGAAATTGCAAAAAGCTACGGGTGTGGCATTTTGTCGACAATTTGTTACAAATTCAACATAGATACGAATCAAATTTGCAGCAAATTGTCGCAAAACCATCAATTTGCTACAAATACGTAAAGCATAGTTAAAAATAAATCGTAGCTGTGTGGTCCAATTTCTGTAGTAAGCTCTCTCTTTCCCTCTTTGGTTTTGATCTCGCTTTCATGCTCATAAATGTGTGATTTGTTATCTGCTCATGTTCGTTATCGTCGGGAGATTAGGATTAGTCGGACAGTTTGGTATGCTTAAATTTTTATCAGCAAGTTCCTGAATATATTCATGATCATATTCAATACCTTCTTTGATCTAAGCACACACGTTTACGAGCCTTTAGTTTTTTTTTAATAGCTTGCAATCTCTGTTAGTTTGTTTTAGTCTATTTCATCTGGCACTCAATGCAGTTATTCAAAATCACAACCTTTTATTACTTCCAATTTCAAGTTGTGGTAAAATACTTTTTACAATATTCTTTTAGGGCTGTTTAAATGGGAAACACCGAATGTGACAGTTTGTCGAATGCTCTATGGTAAAAGAAATCCATTTTTGAAATAAAGTTTTAAATTTTAAATTTTAAAAAAATTTATAAGTTTTTTTAAATTACGAAAATAAGAGGATTTTGGCAAAATATTTCTTTTAGATACATACATTTAGCTTCCACGGCTTTTTAGCAATCTCTTTTGAATTTTTTGAAGTGAGCACTGTAATCTTCAAAATTTTGATCAATTCACCAATCATATTTTCCGTATCATGTAATTATGTTTACCGTAAATATTTTCCATACTAGTTGTCCTACTCCTACTCGTATGTGACATTGGTCATTAGACATGTTTTAAGGATATGACACTAAACAAAAGAGCTGGAGTGCATATAAATGATGATAAATTTCAAAAAATACCATACTTTTCAAGTGCCATTTACAAAAATGATACACTTTTGAAATATTTACAAAAATATCATTTTTTCAAAATTATTTTTTCTTTATATTTTTTATGTTTTGGTTAATTATATTCTATTAAAGTTTAGTTTTGAGTGTTTAGGGGGTTTTAGGTGTCAAAACATTTTTTAGGATTTAGAATTTTAAGATATAGGTTTTATAAATCTATAATTAGTGGTATTTTTGTAAATGGACATCCCTAAGTGACATTCTTGCAAATATGCACACAAAAAATGGTATTTTGTAATTGTCCC